GTCAATACTATTAGTTATTGAATTAAGCAGTTCTGTATTTTAACATTTTCTCATTTTGGCTCAAATTTAATCCTCTCAGTAGTATTTATATGACTATTTGCAGGCTTATTGAAGCAGATCACCAAATCTGTGATGTGGTTCTCAGTCTAGTCCCATAAAATATTGAGGTGGTTATGGGATAAAAGACTAAGGCAGATTTGCTTAGTTTTTTGCTTCTTAGAACATAGTCTTGGAATTTTGACTTTAAGCAACTTATCTTTTTTTTTTTTTTAGACTCCTTGTTCATTGTTCCACACACCAACCTGGGCAGCAGCAGCAGCCTAGGCTTTTATGCATCAAATAAAAGATCTACTAGTGATTATACTGCCAAAACCAAAGCACGACTTCTATTTTGCTGGTGTCCTTGGCATTACTGTATCTCTAAGAAAATGTTTTTAAAAAGAATGTACTGATATTGAGTTCTAACCTTAGCAGGCCAGTAATATTCTCCACATGCCCATGAAATAATTTTATTTTTACCTTTGTAGCTAGGGACTCTTAACAAACAGGAATTGACACAAAAAAGGATAACTGGCAAAAAAGACTGAACCACGGTTAATGAAATGCATTCCTGAGTGTGATCCTTTTCAGCCAGAAAGAAACTAATGTCCTACATTTGCATTGCCACATGTTGAACCAAAGGAGTTATTTTAGTGAGAGAACTCATCATTTTAGCCAGTTTAAACAGGCCTTTGCTCCTCGTTAACAAGTTCAGTATTAGTTAAGTGCATTTTTCAGTACATTAAGATTAATTTTGTAGAGGTTAGCAAGACAACCATTAGGCTAAACCATCTAGGAAACTAAGGGATAATGCAATAAATGATTGATCTGTTTAAAAGGTCTGTTATGTTTCTAAGCATTCCATTCAATTTTGGGAAAAGTTAAACATTTTTATGTGAAGATGAATTTTCACATTAAATTATGTATACTTTATTTTACTTTATTTTTTTATGAAATATTTAGAGGATCTCACTCCCCTCTAATGCAAGTGCACTTGATTTGTTTTTTTTTCAGTTTAGCTTTTCAGATGATAACTACAAGATATCAAAGACATTTTTTCATAATCTTTGAATTTTTAGGGTATTTCCACTGATACTGTAGGAGTAGTACAGTGCTATGCCAAACACCTATTTAATACCTGCCATGTTGGTGTTACAACTATGCCATAATATAAAGCAATAATTAATATTTTTTCTGATGTAATTAGAGCTAACAAGTGTGTGATCACCTCACTTCAGATGTAATCTGTAGTAATTATTCACAACATAATTTATGTATTTACTAGGTATTGACACTTCTTTCACTATTTATAAAGAAAGCTACTCCACAAAGACGACTACAAATCTTGATTAAAATTAAGATATAAACAAGAGAAAACTTTGCAGCTGATTATTTCAGTGTCAAACAGGTCAAAACTCTCCCCAGGGTCTCAGTCAATCTGCACGGGAGATGGGACAACACTGAGAACCTGCCAGTGTTTTTGTTGTTCCTTTCTGTAGTCTGCTGAAATGATTCAGATTCTTGGAGATATCAAATAATAGCTATAGTTCACTTGCCATGGATTCCTTAGCAATACTACACAGACTCAGCAGTTTTCAATCTTGGCCTTCATTGAAGACCGTGCACTTTGGTTTTCTCAAGTTCAGGAACCTGTGCTGATTATCCCTTTGACAGAAATCACCGTCTTGCTGGCAGACTGAATCAACAAACACTTTTCTTCCTCCTCAAACTTACCTGTACGAATCCTATACAAACCAGGTCAAAGTAACTGGCTACTCTCAAATAGTTATCTTCCTGGCACTGAGAAAAAAAAATGGGTGCAGTATGGGACGTTTTCCTTTCTCAGATCTTGGTGCAGCGCAGCTTGTACTGAGGGCTTTTCCAGGGCAATTTGGCTGGGGTGATCAAATAAGTCTCTGCAAATTTTTCCTCTTTCTTTGAGGGGACTTCTGCTGTGTTGTGATACAAACAGGAGCACAAGTGAAGTCTGACAGGATAATTATGAGACAAATTGCTTATAGCAAGCAGAGGTAATGCAGCTGGATTTCTGGGTGTAACAAGTCACACATTTCTGACATGGTCACTGTGCTGGATGTTTTTTTTCCTCAAAGCTGCAGCTGTCATCTTTTGTTAGGACAAAGTACTTCTCTGACATCAGTCCCTCATATCCCTTAACAAAGAAATTCAAAGAGCCAAAATCTTCTTTCTTATTTCTGAACAAGTTTTTAGCGCACCTGTCCTGAGTTCCCTCCAGGAGCACAGGTAGCTCTTCTGCTCTGTTGCTAATGGTTGCTTGCTGCTGATCATGAAGGACTCAGGCGAGGTTCTATGTTCTTTTTCACCTGCTGTATTCATCTGCAGTTTTAACTATTTTGTGCAAGCATCCTTGCAAAAATCAGCAGTTTCTCCAGGTTGGACAGAGCAAGTCTGATTCTCTATAGCACAGAGATCCAGAGTCACTTTCTCTGATGGGAAATGAATATAAAGTGAAGCTAAGAAGTTGTCCACTGGTTCCCCTAATACATAAAATTACTTCTATAAGTAAAATCTGAAATATATGGCAGATGGAATTGGTGAATTTGCTTTTGGATTGTACGTTTGTCTTTTGATCTGTAGGGTGCATCTCCTCATTTCTTCTATCTGTGGAGTTTGCCTAGATTTTTCTGCCTTGTTTTTATTTTGGCTAGTCTCTTCCTCTGTGAATTCTAATACTACTGGAACATCTCTTTAAAAATTTCCACTAGTTTACTATGTCTCTCAGAGTGAAAAACAGAAAAGTAAAAGTAATTTTCAGGAAGCAGCACATTTTTCTTATCAAAAGGGAAAGTCCCATCCAAAGCCCTGCCTTCATAAATGACTGGCACAACTACAGCATACCTGGCTTCTCCTGTGTTATGAAGTGAAGGTGGTTTACTGGTTGGAGCTATCTATGTACTTGGTGCACCTGTCTAGCTTATTCCTAGTCACTTGATATAAAGAACATGGCCCACACTGGGCTAACTTTAGGAGAAGACTGCAACCTTTTCAGCATTCCCCTGCATTTGCAAGCCACTGATTCAGATATTGATCAGTAACCAAGTCATTTTTATTCTCAAGTAGCAGATTATTCTGAAGTCCAGATGCAAAATGACTGTGGCATATATCAAGTAGAATAACTTCTAATATAGCTAATGTCAGTCAGTCTTTCTTACATCAGCAAGAACTTGGGCCAAAATAAGCATAGTGCTGGAGCAGCTGCACTCTGTTCTGGTAGTTATTCTCTTTGGATGAGATGGAAAACTGTGATTATAACTAGGGAGTGTTCCCTGTCCCTGTGGACGTTCTTCACATGTAGGAATGTTCTGCCCTGCACCTTTACAGGTTTCACTGGGTAAACACATCCTGCTTGGGCAAATGGCTGCTTCCCTGTTAGTGACAAGTGTCCCTTCATTTCTTTTGAACAGTGATGTAATATTATTACAAGGCGAATGCAGTACTTCTGTGTAAGATTAAACGCTCCTATAGCTAATGTCAGTTTGTATTTATATCTAGGTGCCACGCTCTAGAGTTATTGAGGTATTGGTTTTGCCGACAGCCAGCAGTATTTTTTTGTAATGAAATCCAGCACGTTACTGTAAAAATTGGCTCCCCAAACGCTGTTGTTTAATATCTGGTCACTAGGTGTCACTACTCATCTAGGAGAACAGCAAAGCTTTGTTTCCATTTTTGTTTTAGATTTGTACAAAGAAAGATCATTTGTATATAAGAACTTTTGTGTTGTCTATAAAAATTTATAGCTAAGGAACCCTGTATCGTGATCAGTAAAGAGGCACAATGTTTTCTGATTTTAGAAAGAAGCCTGTTATGTAGTCACTTTCAACTATAAAAAAGAGACTTAGAAATGGTTTTCAGTGTGTTAGCTGCCCCTAGCACAGAATGATTTTAGCTGTTGTTCAAATTAAGGAAGGTGGCCGCAAAAGAGAAAATATTTCAGATTTTTTTGTTTGTTTGTTTCAAGATGGTTGTGGGGAGCAAGCAAAGAAACCTTTGGTTGCAACAACAGATTAAGAAGTCAGGCTATATTTTTTTTTTAAAAAAAGATAGTCAAAGAAAACATTCTGCTTGGAACTTCTGGGGTTCCTGGGTTCCTGCTTGTGTTAGAGTCTGTAGTTAGAAGGATTAATCAGGCTACACGTGATACATTGTGATCTCAAGCAAGGTTGGAAAATCATACTCAAAATCTGAGCAAGTACTGAATGGTACACCCTCCTTCCTTTATTGCATGTTGGATAACTAAATTTGAATCTGGATATAAATCTTAGTCTCTTGTTCACTGATATCTCTTAGTAAATGTGAGGCACCATTTTGGAATGTATGCTGCTATTCTAAGAAAATGAACTTTGGCCTTTTAGTGAAGGAAAACCTGCTTCCTTTGCTGCAGTGCTGTGTAAACATCTCCTACTCATGTCTATTCTCTGCTCTTGGGATTCAACAGAGCTTAAGAAAAATATTTAAATGGAGACTGATTTCTAACCCCTGCTGAACGCCTCGAGAAATAAATGACTTATGATTATGTTAACGTTTTTCTGTTCTAATCACTTAATGATCAGCAATTGACAGCAAAATGCCCCACTTGATGGGAAAGACAAGGGGGGATGTTAAGTGATCCTTTCATGGAGGGAATGATGTGTTTTGTCATTCTCCCATTATTTTTTGAACAAAACTAAATTCTATATGCCCAAGACACCTTGTGCTGATGAGTTCAAGGAGATTGGGTGAGCTATCAGAGGTTTCATTTTCTCTACCTAGAAGCAGCAAGTATTTAAACAGAGGCAAGTGATGGTTTAGCTCTGCCTGTTGCAGATGCTTTTGAATACAAGGATATTTCCATGGAACATGGGAAAGAGCTCAGTTTTCTGCTTACTGTGCTGTACCTTCAGCATATAGGTATTATGCTTCTCTTTCTTTTTTTTCTCCCCTAGCTATTCAGGAAAACTATCCCCAAATACTTCTGAAGCACTATTCAAGATTCTTTTGTGTAAAACCTTACCAGAAGAGGAATGCCTTGTTTGCCCTGCTGCTCCATCACCCATCTGATGACTGCTTAACAGACTTGTGATTATACTGTTAATATAACAATTTCTGTGTAAAAAGTTGCCTGGCTTGTGTCTGAGGAAATCCATGAGCGCTGGATAGGTACGCTTGCTTGCGTGTGGACTCTTTGCTGATTTATTATAGAGGCATCACCCAACTTCCCTATTATGACACGAAAGCTGGGAAGAATGATTTAGCACTACATCTCTTCCAGTGTTAAAATGCAGAGTTTCTAGAATCGTGAGCCTGCGCCCCAGGAGGGTGACTCAGACCTTTTGCTGAGCATTAGGGAAATCTTTGTGTCAGGCTCCTGAAAGTAACCATACCAGAAGTTGTGTGTCCTTACCAAGTTAAGTGTCCTCTGAATTTCTCTGTGAGAGAAGCAGTGCTTTCTTCCTCTGTGTCCTTTTCCCAGTAATGGACAGTATCTACAAATGTAAAATGCCACGCTGCGTGTTGGTCCCACAAGAATTCTTAGGTAATGCCACAACCTCCAAGGTAACATCTGCCCTTGTGTCGTGCAGGTACTGAGAAGGGGAGAAATTGGTCTGATCTGCCAAAAAGGGAGGGAAACAAAAGTATGTAAGAACAGTCACAAAATGTTTTTATGAATTGCAGTCTATGGAGCTGCAGTTAGATCACACGCCAATAGTTCCAGAGTTATTTTTCATCCTCAAGCTTTCATGTGTCCTATGCACATACAAAACTCTGAATTCCCTCCCCAAGGAGCCAAGAAAATGTTTTCCTTAAATCTGTGACAGCAATAGTACTGTTTTGCATGTGTTTAATAAGAGCAGAATTACAGTAATGTTCCTGTTCCATGTGAGCAAATATAGTAAGTATTTCCACAATGGCTACAACTGGGATTTTGTAATGCTCACTGCTTTAACCAGTTTAAATAAAGCAAGGCGAGCCCCTATCTGATTTGCTAAACAAGTTCTGTCCTGACTCTTTGTGTACATCCTAAATCTTTCTCTAGCTGTTAGTCAAAACAAATCCATAATTAAGGAGAACTACCCCCTTATTACTGTTTAATTTCCTGATAAAGACATTAAATTAAATTAAAAGGAATTTCCCCAAAAGCCCCCCTTCCAGACTGAATCCCTGCACTGACAAGCTATTGGATTTTCTGCAAAACAGAATAACAAACAAAAAAAATCTACTTTCAGTCTTTTAGATTTGTGCAGTTTAATTGTTGGTCTATTTCCCTGATAAGGTGAGACTAGTCCCATGTCACTGGGGGAATGGTATCCTGCTGTGTTTTTCCATCCTCATTTACAATGATTATGTTATCAGGCTAGCCAGGCAAAAGGGTGGAGCAACTATAATTTCAAAGCAGGATTAGGTTGAAATAACGAGGTCACCAAGTTGTGGTTGTCATGGCAACGTCACATCTAAGAATATGGGATGCTTCTAGGAGATGAGGCAAGCCTGGAGTCTCTCTCCCTTTGCACAAAATCCCAGACTATTTCCGTAAAATTGCTTAATTGCTTTTAAACATTTTTTTTTTCCAGAGTGGCTTTTGCCACAACAATGAATCCAAATTGCACTTATTTTATTGACAGCATCTTATCTCTTGTTTATCTCTGATCTGCTATTGATCCTATTTTCCTGTTACCTTCTGAGTATTTATTTTGTCTGTCTCTAGATCTTTTGTTTAACATATATAACAGAAGCTTGAGGTAATACAGCCAGCACTCAGGTGTTTTGATTGTCCTAGAGACTTCACAAAGGTGAAACAGCATTCTGTCATGTCACACGTTGCCCTGGAACCTCTCCCACACTAACAAATAAGGGTCAGTGTTTTGCTGTTAGCTCCTGAATTTTCCTGCTAGTGATAGTTTCTATCCCTTTTTTAGTATCTTATAATGGTTTTTACGTATGTGCTAAAATCCTTCTTTTTTTTTTTTTTAATATGGTGCCTAGAATTATTATTTTTAAACATGTTTGTCATTGGTTCAAACTCCATTGGATGACATAAAGCTGAAGAGGCTTACTTCACCATGTCACTGCTTTTGTGGGTGCTTTGTGATATAAACTTCTGACAAACAAAGTAGGAAGCAGCTGCACTGTATGGGGCTTTATTTTATCACCTGAAATCTCATCCAAAATACTTTCTTCTCTTTTCTTAGCTGTTAACTGTGCTTTAATGTTACTGATGCATCATGGTATAAACCTCTCAACACCCAGTTCCAATGAAAGTGGCTTGACTTTGTACCTTTTCCTTGCTGAATGTCTACTGCTACCAATATAAGGTTGCATTTGGGTTTGCAGGGCTAACAGGTTTGTGGAGTAAAGGAGTAAGTTACAGACACTGTAAGGGAGATGGGGAAGGCTGTAATGGTAGGCTGTGGGTGACTCTGAAGAAGCAGGAGTTGTACCCAGAGTTGTCAGAGTTCTTATTGTCCAGGGCACTTCTGTTCTGGGCATCCTGAGCTCCATACCTGATGCAGTCTCTGTGGGTTTATCAGTATGTGAGACCATGCTGCAAAAGTCTCCTCAGTGGTACAATTTTCATTCTGTTCTTTATATATTAGCCTGGTTGTAAGGAACTTGCTGTGACGTGATGGGCCTAGAGACCATTACCCTTCCTCAGTTCTTTTGTTGAAAGGAGCAAGTGAGCGTTCAGAGAAACATGTATGATCATGTAAGGCAAATTGTCATGTGAAACCACAGAATAAGGGTTTCTACAGATAGGGAACAGTTTAAAAAAAAAAAAAAAAAAAAGCTTCCCTTCCTGCTATGAGAGAATGTTAAAACTTGAAATGTATCTGACTACTGTGTGGCTCTTGGTTTTAAAAAATTAAAGAAAGCACACAGAAAATACCATGTTCAACACCTTGTTTCAAGGGCATGAAATGTAAGGTTGGAAAGTGAATCGTGCTATTAGACAATCTCACTTTTGGCTGACCTAAGATAGTCTTCATGGTAAGTATAGATATTTTCTGTTTATTTTTCTCCTGTTCTTCATTGTCCAGTTAGAACTTGTGGAGAGTGTGACATCTTGCACTTTGCTGACGTGCTAGGAAATAGGGACTGCACAAGGTGAATGGTTTCCATCAGTAATGAGACTAATAGCTGAGTTCTGAGAGTAAAAGGAAAAAGAGGTTTCAGCTTTGATGTGAAGTACACTGATCAACCATCTGGTAGCAGAGTGGTATTTTCTCTCTGACCTTGTTCAGAGGAAGCTAATCTGTTATATTCCACAATGGGTGGGATCCTTGCACAGCAGCCTGGAATGCTTATTGATATTGTCCAGTCTGGTGGATAAGTTCTGTATTTAACAGGTTTGCCACCTATGATGGTGCATGAAAATAGGAATTTTCCCCTATTTATTCAGGTTTGTCTCTTGTTGTGAGAAGAAGCTTTGTATTATTGTTGAACGGTTTGAACGCGTTTCTTCTGTGACATTATGAGCTAATATTCTTCAGTGAGCTGAGAAACTATGTGGTAACTAAAGAGAAACTTAAATCCAAATTGTCAGTGGATATATCCACCAGATGGTGATGTTCTACCAAATTATTTGCACACTGATTTTGCAGTAAAAACCTTGTATTTTGGAGGGAATTGTGATTATTTCTTTAATTTCAAATGAATGAGTCTTTCTGTTGCTTCACTGATAATTAGGCTTGGAAAGAGAAGACATTTTGACCCATCCTAAAGTGTCCACCTTGTTTGTGTCCAGTTCCACCACAATGCACTGAGGAATGGGAAAAAAAATCTGTACCTTTTACCACATTGAAACTGGGTAAAAGCTAGGGTATTAGAAGCAAGCTTTACGTGGCTGCTTTACAGTTGTGGAGAACCATTAATCTGACAGACTTGTTTACCAGTTGGATGGTTTGTTTCTGTGAGAAATAAGGCACCAGGATGAGAAGGGTGAGGAGGGTTGTGCTGTGATATTGTTCCATGGTTCCTCTTTCCATAGCCCAGTGGATTGTGTGGATGAATGCCAAGTTTGGTTTGCTGGGTGGGGCCTCATCTGCATCTGAAGCTGGAAGGGAATGGGTCTGCTACATTCATCCTCCCTTTTCTTTGGCTTGCTTGCTGAGTTGAACAGCCCTCAGGAAAACTGTGTTGTGGAAAGTTACACAATTTAAAGTCTAGCTTTTCTGTTCTTGTATACAATAAACATCCCTGCAGTTTATGCACATGAAACTGCAGCCACTCGGATGGAAGAGCTCTGCTATTAAAAATTGTTAGAATTATTGATTTAGTTTGAGAAGTAACTGCCAGTAAAATTAGATCCTTCAGAAGTCTTCAGCCACTTTACCTAGCATAGCAAAAAATTCTCAGGAAACAAGAGGAATGTTTTTGTTTAGTCTAACCTACAATAAGAAAAATGAAAATGATAATTTGTTGTTCTCTCTCATAGTTTCCTCTTTCTTATTGTCAGTTCTGCACACAGATTAAGCTATTCTATAGGATCATAATCACTTGTACGTACAAACTGTGCTGTATTTGATGGAAAAAGGTAGTAAGAGGGCCAGCTAATATACCTGCAGAATTCACAGTTTCGAATGGGAAATTTAAAGATAGAATATCAGTGAAAGTAATAGGGTTGCCACTCCTAATTAAAAACAAAACAAAACAAAAAAACCCCTCACTATTGTAATGTGATACTTTCTGCACAAAATAACAAATTCAAGTAAGGTTTGTTTCTGCTAATGAATTCTAATTTATGAGGATGCTCTGCCTTTTCCCATGCTAATGTCCTAGTTTTGGTTTCAGCAGCACCACTAGGGAAGTTAGAATGTGGTAATACTGATACTATTGATATTGGTGTGGTTCCTGTATCCAGATTCAGCTCTGTTCTTCACCACAAACTTTCTGGTAGAAATGGAGCACGTGGGCCAAAAGTGAATTGAAATGAAATGGGATGATGTTCCTTCTTTCTGTCTGGATGACATTAATTGTGTGCTGCTAATGCTGGCCATCCTCCTTGAACTGCTAATCTAGCTCTCTTCACGTTCTTAGCCATAACAATTGGCCCCGACTTCTTATGGTTATGCAATACCATGGTAGATCTCCCCATCCCTAGCTACAGCTCACTGATTTTATAAAGTCTGTGTATGCTTGTTGTTTTGTGGACTTTGTTTTGTTGTGAAGCTAAAAAGGTAAGCCATTGTCCTCTCTCCTGACTAGTATGCATTGGTCACTTTGACTTATTGTCACTCTGTTTGGAAACCAGCCTATATTTTGTCATTCCATTCTGCACTGGCATTTGTTGAGTCAGAAAAACAGCTAATTTTGCTACCACTGATCTTCATAGTACAATGTGTCTCTGTCTGAGTGTTCTTAATGGTGTAATTTGATAAGCAGCCATATTGGTGAAGTGACATGAGGTATTTAGACTGAACCATACCTGTCAGGAGAAACCGTATCACACAGGCTTTTCATTCATTTTGTCTAAGTCTATGGGTGACTTGCTCACTGAATTATTTTTTTCCCAGAGCCCAGTGTTTGGTGGACAGTACTGAACATTCAGAAAGTATGAGAGCACTTACGTGGATATTCCAAGTTCTTCAACATTCATTTGGAAATTACTGAGGAACTCATGTAATCTGAAAAACTCAACAGATATTCCAGTGCACTTTTGGTATGTGTAGGAGGATGGCACTGTGCTTGCTGTGAGCCACAGCTGAGAGTGTGCCACCAATTTATTCTGCTACACACACTGGGCATTAGAGCTGTGGCCAGAAACATTTGTAAACTCTTTGGGATTCTTCAGCATTTGTCTTCAGGTATAGAAATGGCTTCAAGCTCAAAGATGGTAGATTTAGGTTGGGTATAAGGATAAAGTATTTTACCATGAGGGTGGTGAGGCACTGGAACAGATTGCCTGGAGATGTGGTTGATGCCCTGTTCCTGGAGATTTTCAAGGAGAGGCTGGATAAGGCCCTGGGTGACCTGATATAGCTGTGCATGCCCCTGTTCATTGCAGGGGAGTTGGACTAGATGACTTTTAAAGGTCCCTTCCAACTCTAAGGATTCTATGAATTAATTTGATCATGTCTGTTGACAAGACGTGCAAGCAAATCAAACTGTTCTATGAGCAACTATCCTCTTTATTATGGATTTGATAGTTGCTTTCTACTATCAGTGAAGTTCTGACTTTTCCTACACAGTG